CCAGGAGTTCCTGGCCCGTGGCGCAGGCGGCGGTTTGCCCAGCAACGGGGGCGCGCGGGGGAGCCTTTGCCTTTGCGGCGCACAAGGGGGCAGTTTATGCAGCAGGCGAACGAGCCGCGGGCCGCGGGCGGCTTTGTGATGGCCCCATGGTGGGCAGGGCCGGGGGCCGGGCCGGGCGCATGCATTGAGAGAGATGTTACTCGCCCCGTTGGTGGTCTCACTCGCGGGCCTGCGGGCCGGGCCGGGCCGGGCCGAGCGAGCGGTATCTGCGCCCGGCTGACTTGACTGGCTCGGCTCGCGCGCCGGCATGCCGACCGGCAGTACGAAACCTGGTTTACAGGCGGCCTCGAGGCGCACTAGCGCCTCCCGCTTTGACGAGCCAGACCACGCAGCCTGTCACTGTCACGCACGTCACGTGCTCGGATTGGGTTTGCTTTGTGCAAGCGCTGGTCATATGTTATAATTGGGACTCGGATTGACGTCATTATACCAGGAGGTAAAGAATTCCGTCGCAGACGGCAGATTACTGCGTACCAGTCGCGAGAACGGGTTAAGGGGTGGTAAGGGTCCCTGTGAGTAGGCAGCATTACACACACACGTTACGGTAAGCCTACAGAATCTGCATGGCAAATTATAGCTCGACATTGTATTAGTGAACTAACTGGAGAACTGAAAGTAAACAAATTATGATGTATGAAAGCATAGTTGTCTCTACAATAAGAAACAATATCGAATGGTGTAATTTTTTCCTCTCTCAAAATCAAGGAAACTTGCTAAACACATTCCACATTCCTGGGGCTCTCGCTTGTAAGGGGCGTTATGAAGCAAGCCCTTGTCTGCCTGCAGGACCATGATGGCGTCCTCCTGGGCTGGGCGGTCCCTGCGGCCCCACCGCGCCGCCGCTCCCGGGCTTACGTGCCAGCGGGCCGGGCCGGGCCGGCATGGCGGCGCTGCTACCGGCTGCTACTGGCTGCGCGCACCCCGCCCCCCGGCGGGCTACTCGGGGACCTCGACGCTGGAGAGCGCTGCATGGCGGCGATTGGCCGCGCGACGCGGCGAGGCGCGACTGGTGCGGGTAAATAAAAACCTTGTCGAACAAGGACCCGGCCATTCTCCTTTGCTGCTCCTCTTGTTATTTTCGTCGAAGCTGTCTGTCGGGAGACTGACTAAAACTGGGTGCCATCGTGGGCTGGGTGGGCTGCTGCCCGTATGGTGGGCCCGCGAGCTAGGGCTTTATTTTATGTGCCATGGCGGGGCGGGGCGGGGCGGGGCGGGGTGCACGGTGAACATCACGCCGGTCGTGTTCTGTCGGACGTGCTGGAGGTCCCAAGTCATCACCCGGCGGGGCCGAC